CATACTTTTAATACGGAATTGATTACTTTAAAAAGCAAATCCATAGCAGACAAAGCACTGGAGAAACAGTTCTAAAGAAAATCCTGCAAATTGAAACCAGGGCACCAGAAAGTTCTGGATTGAACTAACAAATGATGCTCTTCTCTGTTCAGCTCTGCACAAATACAGGCTGCAGGAGGCATTTAAATTGATTTAATAATATCAGTCCAGTTAATACTGTGTTCATTTAATGCATGGCTTAGGCTTCTGTAAAATCATTTTTCAAATTTCAGCATCGACAGAATTAGCACCCTCATTTTTATGATAATATTGTTAATTTAATGCATGGCTTGTAGTTAGACTTCAAAGTAAATCAGAAAAATATGCCTTTTCTCTTGTCAGTGACATCTCTCTTCATGCACCAGTGGTTTGACCTTAAATTTTAACTTCGGCTGCACAAAATCACTCTCATATTTCTTCTATTCTTCTATAATTCGATCATTTAGTTCATCAGTCTTAGATTTTGCAATACCCTGCCCATGAAAGCTAAAACAGTTTTTAACATTATCATTTTATGTTTATTCTCCGGAAAGATCTGAATTGGAAGCTTTTCAGTATAATATATAAGATGCATTTAGCCAGTGAGCTTCATACAAACATGCAAACATGCAAAAATGACTGAAATGGCCAAGGAAAGGCTTTTCCACTATTTACCCCCCTCCTCCCCTCCCTATTAGGGCCCTGAAAACCAAACAGCAATAATGAAGTAGATTTGTATAAACAAATATCTACAACAAACAAGGGCTTCCGCCATGGTAAAACAAGAATGTATTCTTTACTTTCTCCCTAAAACTCTGAAATGTCTCCTCACACATCTACCCAGCCAGCAGGAGAAAACTGACAGTGTAATGAAGGGTGAAATGATAATGTCCTCTCCCGTAAATGGAATCCAGCCGACAAGAACAATGCACTCAAACAGATTTGCAGGGCATTCTGGACGGAGCTTCAGACCTCCCATCCCCCTGGACTTACAAGAACCTGCAGTGGGGTCTCCCTCTAGCCGGAGGCAAGTAACCATTTTAAATAGACGGAAAAACTTACATACACCATATTACTAACTAGAGCAATGTTGCCAGTGTAGAAATATAAGGTAATGGAGAAAAAAAAACACCACCATGATGTGGCAAGGCATCATTGGTGAAACATACTCAGCGTTGAGAGGGACAGTTCCAGGGAATACACATGGAGATCCACCAATTATCAATCCACTATTTAGAACCCTCAAAGTGTTGGTGTAATGGACTGAATGTGTCTACCTCCGCCCCCCAACTGCATGTTGAAGCCTTATCCCACGGTGTGGTGGTATTTGGAGATGGGGCCTTTGGGAGGTGATTAGGGCTAGGTGAGGTCAGGATGGTCCAGCCTCATGATGGGATTAGTGCCTGCATAAGGGGAGACATGACAGAGCTTGCTCCCTCTCTCTTTCTCTCTCCATGAGCACACATCCTCACAGAAACCAAACCCTCCTGGACCTTGAGCTTGGACTTTCCAGCCTCTAGGACTAAGAAAATAATTTTCTGTATGTCAGCCACCCAGTTTGTTATTTTGTTACAGCAGATGGAGCTAATACAGGCATACCTTGTTTTATTGTGTTCACAGATACTATGTTTATTTTTTTACAAGGTTACTTCTTAAAGGTTTCTGGCAACTCTCTGCAGAGCAAGTCTATCAGCACCATTTTTTCAACCGTGTTTGCTAACTTTGTGTCTCTCTGTCACATTTTGGTAATTCTCACAATATTTCAACCTTTTTCATTATTATGTTTGTTATGGTGCTCTGGGATCATCACTTAAAAGCTCAGATGATGATTAGCAATTTTTAGCAATAAAGTATTTTAAAATTAAGGTACAGACACTGTCTTTTAGACAAAATGCTATTGCACACTTACAGACTATAGTATAGCGTAAACATAACTTTTATATGCACTGGTAAACCAAAAACTTCATTTGTATTACTTTATCGCAATACACGCTAAATTTCGGTGGTCTGGTCCCAAAGCTGCCATATCTCCAAGGTATGCCTGTACACTTTCTAAGTGTGTAAACATTATAACATCCTACTTAATGACATTCTCATAATACCTATGCATGTGCATACCCTTTGGGGCAGCAACTTCACTTCTAGATACTATTCAATAGAAGCATACCCAACCCTGCAAAAATACAGGCCCAAGTCCACTCTCTGCAGCACTCTCGAGTGGAAAAGAGACCCATAACAGCATGATGCCCAGCAAAGGAGGACTGGTTAAATAATTAATGTCAGCTAGAGGTGATGAAATGCTCTGCTCTTCAAATATACTTGCTTACCGATATAAGTATAGAAGCAAGTTGCTGAATATTGTGGAAAATAGGATTCTATTGCTGTGCAAGAATTATGTATGTTCATATACATGGAAAAACTTGGAACAATATGTGGCAAACAGCAAGGAAATAGGAACTTTTCGGAATTGTTTAAAATTTTCACATATGTTGCTTATAATAAAATAATCAACGTGTAAAAGTTACTGTTAATCAGTGGTTCCTTTTATCACCTTGGGCTTTCAATATAAATTTACGAACAAATTTGATCCATTCTCTTACCCATTAGGGGGACAGAGTTCATGATTTTACTATAGAGGCTTCAAATAAAAAAAGTTCAGAGTATCTTTCTATTCATCAAAATAATTATGTAAATAGTCTCAAAGCTGATCATTTATGTTGAAAACTAACAAGCAGATGTACAGTGAGGGTTAATGGGACCTCTAATGGGTGTCTTTATATAAGGGGACAATTTGGGGTAAAAAAAATATTTTTTCCCCTTAACTATTCTAAAATAAATAGCATGTCTACTTTCAATTATCTTAATCGCTCTGTCTTCATTATTGAGTTGACACTGTTTGTATATCTTAATGAACTTACAAAGATTATTTCAATCGATTGGTTTTGTTAACAGAACTATAAATCCTGACCGATAAAGGATCCACAATGTAATTAGTTAGCACTTCTTATTATGCTAATTTCTGATACTTCTATAATGAGTAATTAAAGATTAATAAGAAAGATAGTCCCAAATTAGTGGTTTGTTATCTGCGAATGCTTCAGGATGTGTGGGGGATCAAGCTACATTTGCATATTCATGAGGAGACTATATATTTGCATATTCACGAGGAGACTGGAAACTAGAGTAACTTTGCTTGATTTAGAAACCCTAAGTTCTGTCTCAGAGTATCCCTGAAAGAACCCTGCCCTGGGGCCATCCAGTTTCAGGGCAAGACGGTGGAGCAGTTAACTTGTCTCTTCACTTCTGCTCACGAAGCAGAAGGAGGTAAAGCCAGACAGTTTCTGAGTTCTTCCTGGGCCACTTTTTCTGGCTATGTGACCTCAAGCTGGTGGCTTCTACCTTGCGGGGCCTCTGTCTCCACACCACATGGCACAGAGCTGGGGTGAAACCCCAACAAGATCATCCACATCGGACACTTAGGAGGAGTGGGCAAGGCGGCTGTAGGGATTCTTCTTTCAACACGTATTTAAACTCTTACTCTTTCCCAGGCACTGTCCCAGGCACTGGGTCTAGTGAATAAATAAACAATAAATAAATAACCCCTACTCCCATGGAATTTCTTGTTCTCTTTCTCTTCCTTTTCTTCTTCAGGGCTTTTTGAAATTGGAAGCTATAAATCATGGGTGCTCTGCAGCTGCGTCTTCTTGCTCAGTCTCCTCAGAAGCACGCAGGCCGGACACTAATTCAAGCAATCCCAATGCAATATAAATCCCAATGCAATATAAATCCAAAGTATCGTGATGACGCACTCTGCTCGGGAGCCTGGGGAAGCCACACAGACCAACAAGCTTGGAGCCCGTCTGCGCTGCTCTTCAAATAACACCCCTGCCTTCACATCCTGCCCTCGGTGCGGGCCTCCTGGGCCCAGGCTCAGGTAATTCTGGCAGCAGCTCCGTGGGTGATGCGATTACTCAAGCTTCCGCTGGTGGGCTGATGGCTCAGACTGATGTGGTTTGCCCCAAGATGTGCAGCTAGCTATATGTGGCAGAACTAGGGTTCAAAACTAGGTCCCAACCCCAAAGTGCCAGGTCCATCGCCCTTGCACGCTGCCCCGGCTGCCTGCTGTAGCCACTTGGTGTCCTAGGTAGAGGTAATGTTGCAAAGCACAGTTGACCACCGGGCAGGAGCACCTGGTTAATTACTCAGGGAAAAGAAGCGGGCTAATTGTGGCTCTAATCTTTAGGGAGAGTAGGAGGGACATCACACCACAGAACTGGGGAGAAGAGGAAAAAGAACTGGAGATGGAAACCAGAATTAGTGTTCCTTTCCAGGGCATGTTACTGCCCTACTGGGGTCTTGGGTCTCCCACATCCCTGCTCTTGGACCTCAGGCAAGTCACTGACCCTCTCAAGCCCAGCAGCTCCACCTGAGAAAATGCGAAAACCACCTTCCACCTCCTAGAGCTGCCATGAGGAACAAAGAAATGCAAATACAAAGAGTAAGCAAATGGCATTCAGTAGGTACTTAATAAATGCCACTTTGGTTTCCGAAGCTGAGATCAAGTGTTCTGTGAGCCTTAGACAGCTCTCCACAGTTTAGTTGTTTTAGCATCATGATTATTATTACTATCATTGTCATCAGACTAATCTAGCTTAAAGTTAATTTCCACTAGCCATTTAAGGAACATCTTGCAAGGTCTAATTCCCCAAGGTTCCAAAAAGGTTGGCTCCCAGGAAAACCAAATCTGGTGCTACTCTGCCAGGTGGCCATGCCTGAGTGCGTGGTACAGAGAAGAAATATGCTCTACTTTCCCAGACTCTGAAAGCCTTTCCAACATCCTGATTCCGTGAACCCCCATGGGACTCACCGGTCCTCATCTAGGGTGGGATGTGTGTACAAAAGCAATGAGAATGTGAACCAGTTGCTGCTAAAAGAGCAGATGGAGCCAAAGTGCAGAGAAAGCACAAAACAGATGCACTCACAGCAATTATGTTGAAAAAGTCATCATCCCCCAGTGTATCCAGAATAGATGAGACGGTTTGCTTTGCAATAGTGAGACGCAGTCCTTTCATGCTGCCACTGACATCCACTAAAATGACCACGTCTTTCGGAGAAGTCGCTGCCTGGATGTACCTAGGTCAGGGGAAAATTAAGTGAAAATTAAGTAAAAATGAAGTAAAAATGAACCTCTTTGCGAGTTCTCTCTTTAAAACGTAATGAAGAGGTTTGACCATTTCCTACCATTTTCGGTTCCTGCAGTCAAAGGCAATGACTCCATTCTCATCTGGTTCCCATTTAATCCCTAGAAGAAAAATGGAGTTATGAGAAACCCAGAAACTTCAAATATTTATTCATAGCATTTCAAGGCTGCTCTGCTTTGCTGATTGAACAGACAGGGTGAAAAATCACATGCAACGACCAGCCCTGGAGCTCATCACATGCTCCATCGCCACCTCTGGGAAGGTGCTTTCGTGCTGTAACACCATAGCGAACATGGCCTTAGCTCAGTTGTTCAAGGCCTGCTGGAGAGTGGGGACATCCTCAGTAACGTGTTATCTGTCAACAAAGGACGTGACTCCAGCCCCTTCCCGTGGCCAATGGTCATTTCTCACTGTCCAGCAAGTTGTTGGACCTAGTAGCATCATTCACAGACTTCTGGGCAGAGTCAGGCCATGTAACTGGGTCTGGGCAAAGCAATGTGTGTAGCATGGTGGGTAGAAAGCCTCGATACATTTCCATCCCAGAATATACGCAGGTCTGTTTTCCCCTCACTTCTGTATTTATAATCAGGGATATTGGCCTGGCTTTCCACACTGAGATGGAAAAAAAAATGGCCATAATTATGCTGTGTTACAAAGTTTGAATATCAGGTTTTGAAGCCTGGGGAGTTTTCCCCATGTGTAAGATGGGATCCCATATCCTTCGTCTTGTGGTTTGCAGACTGGTCGGGATACGTCCAAGGTTGACATTCTCTATTTATAACTTGGTTGTTAAGAATAAAATTTCATTTAAAAAGAAAAGTGGTTGCTGCCTGAAAATAAGATAGTGAATCATTGTTTTCAACCATCAGTGCTGCTCAGGGATGGAGGATTTAAAATACAGACTTTAGAGTGAAGAAAATAAAAACAGAAAAATGACTTTCACAGGAGGAAATCCTGACTCAGATGGTAGCACTGGGAGTCTCCTGTCCAATTACTGATGGCCAGGTTTCAGGACCCTGCCAAAATAATAATAGTATGTGCTTGAGATAACACCCCCAAATTAGTACTCAGAAAACCATGAGATGGCAGTTTGCTACTCAGAGAATCATTTTATTATGTTCTCCTTGTACCTACATGTCCCACCTACAAATGGGCCAATTTAAAGAGTTTCCTATACCAAATCAGAAACCAGAAGTGTGAGAATCGAAGGTCATTAGGCAACGAAGACAAAATAAATCCGACATGCTATTGAACACTAAGGGACAAGAACACAGTTTATTTAAAAATAAGAAATACACTGCTTTGTATAAAGCCAAGTACAGTTAGGGTAGCATGGTCTTAACACATAGTGAAATTATATCCATGGTGAGGCTAGGTAATGTTCCAATATCAAAAGCATTGGTTTGAACCCAAATAAAGAGATTTTTTTTTTTTTTTAATGAGTTGACCCATGGTAGACCTTCAGCGGATGTTTGTTTCTTGAATTGTGGTGAGTGTTCTTAGACCAGGACTGTGCCCAATCCTGCTCCGCCCCTCCCCACTCTTCCATCCTTCCTCCCCATCACAGCCCCATCCCTGTGTGCCCCACGAGACAAGAAAAGGTGCAATTCTTTTTTTATAGTCCCAGCTTTTAGGCTAGGGCCTGGGGGCGGGGGGGGAGGGATTAAAGACACTTAACGCCCTCCTTCTGGTTTGAGATCATTCCCCTGCACATGGGCATGTAACTCCTCCCAGGCACTACTGTACTAAGTGCTTTTTGAAAAGCTGACATGAAATTTGTCTGTTGGGAAACGTGGTAAAGGATACAATTCCAGAAGAAAGTGGAACAGACAGGACAACCCCAGAGCCTTTTGCCTACTCATCACAATGTTCATCAAACTCCAGTACTCTGCCAGTTGATGGACAGAGCAGTGACTGGGAAACATGGACCTGGCCCTTGCCTGCCCTCAGGAGGCCTCACATCACAGGGAAGCTGGCACATGATAAGAAATCACATGCACCAGAGATGTCACAAAGATGAAGTGCCTGAGGCTATGGTAGTGTGCAAAAGGTGATCCCAATCTCTAATAGGAAGAAGGATCTTCTTCCAATGAGAGCAGAAGGATGGTATATTAGTTTTCTAGAGCTGATGTAACAAAAGTCCTACAAATTGGGTGGGTTAACAGGAAAGAACTCTCTCACAGTTCTGGAGGATAGAAGTCTAAAATCAAGGTGTTGGTGGGCCACATTCCCTCTAAAGCTCTAGAGAGGAAATTTTTCTCACCTCTTCTCAGCTTCTGCTGGCTCCCAGCAATCCTTGGTGCTCCTTGACTTGTAGCTGCATCACCTCAATCTCTGTCTCTGTCTTCCTTCTGTCTTTGTCCTCTCCTCTTATAAGGACATCAGTCATATTGGATTTAGGGCCCGCCCTAATTCAGTGTGATCTCATCCCAACTTACTTAATTACATTTGTCAAGACCCCTATTTCCAAGTCAGGTCACATACTGAGGCTCCAGGTGGACATAAATAATTTGGGGGAGACACGACTCAATCCACTGCAGATGGGTAGGACTTATAAAACAAAAGTAAGTCGTGGCCACAGGGTGAATAAGAATACCCACGCATACAGAACGACATGTGCAAAGGTCCTGAGGTTGAAAAGAGCATGTCAAGTTCAAGGAACTGGAGAAATTCTGGTATGGCTGTGCAGAGAGAATGTCTAGGACAGAGGAAAGGAGCCTGGGTGGCAGCAGAAACCATGCGACTTGAGGCCCTTCCTGGTAAGGACTTGAGGTACACATTGAGTGGGGATGAAGACCCTACCTTGAGACAGTTCTAGGCATAGCTGTCTAAGGTGGAACAATAAAGGTCACACCTTGACTCAAGTCAGGACTGGATGGGCCTTGAGGGGCCATCTTGCCCAAACTTGACTCTTGGGTCAAAATCTTCAACTCATAGAAGGGACTCTAGGCTCTCAGAGTTCAGAAGATCTTCCTGAGATTTCCAGTTATGACGAGGACTTGTCTCCCAAGTCCCCACCCACCATGCTTTTCCTTACATAGGCATTTCCATGAAGATGTCCCATGAGAAGTTCTCTGGGTGTTAGCGTGAGTTAAATGAATAAAAGTAAAACTGGTTTCTATGCTCTGCATGGGAAAGACACCTAAGGGCCTTTAATCTGCTCATGTCATTTTGAATCTCTACAACTGGATTGACAGAGGCAGCACTGACCAAGCGAACTGACCACTGAGCCCTTCCTTTTCCAATCTCACAACAAAATGTTTTAGGAGACAAACTTCAGGAAACCCTGCCCCAGATGGTACTATCTTCCCTAGGATATATCAACTTTCCAGGATATAATTTTTTTTACACACAGATATTTTGAATATGTTCAAGTAACTTCAAATCCCAGAGAAATAATAGTTGGCTCAACCTAAATCTTTCAGAACCGGGAAATCGACACTTAACCAAGAAGCACCTCCATGAGCTATATAATTTCTGGGATTGACACTATGCCTTTTTGGGATGCCACCCAGGTTGACTGGGGCATGAATTTCAAAATAAAAAGAATGATGCAGTCATTGGCTTGGGAAGACTTGGAGGAAGGGGAGCAGTAGAGAAAAGAAGAGGACCATAGCTCTGTGCTGTAATTATGCCAGTTCCCCACTTGGTCACTGCATCCCACCAGACTGTAGCCGGGGACCAGCTTCCCAGAGAGGCAGCAGCTCTACTGTAGCTGAGGAGGCAGGGCTGCTACTACCAATGTGACAGGCGTAAACTCTGATCTACTGAGTGATTCGTTCATTCAACAAATACATACTAATATGTAGGTTGAGGGTGGTAACAGAGTGATAGCCAAATGTCTCCATCCTCCTGGGGTAGATATCCTAGCAAAGAAGATGGGGACTGAAAGCCTGATGGCTCAGGATTGCAGGGCAGAGATCGTATTTTATAGAGTAAGAACTGCCATGAGAACAAAGCATGAAAGAGGTGGTGAAAATATTAACACCATCACCAACTCCCTCCCATCCCGCTGGTATGACTTGGTCGGTCAGTTAACCTCCTGGTCTGTTTCCTCTTTGGTAAAATGTAGATTATAGTAGCTCCAGCCCACAGGATCATTGTGAGGATTAAATCAGACAATGCTTGTGTAAACACCCAGCACAGTGCTCAATAAATGGGGGTCACTATCACTAGCACTAATATTAATATGACATTAATATTAACGGCACCCCCAAAGACTCCCAAGGATGACACTGAAATAGACGGAGTTTCGATAAGGCCTGAGTAACCAATCCTGCAGAGCTCACAGGCCCTTTACTAGTATTTTGTTGCTGCGGTGGTTGCTGGGGTTCAGGAGAGCCTCCCCGAGGCTCTGTGTTCTCTCTCTGTTCAGTGAGACCTTTTTGTAATACAGGCACTGAAAGGTAGACCAGTACCTTGGAAACTGGGTATCAGACCACAAAAGTCTTTTCCCATAGAGTTACGCTGTTCAACGTGATAGCTACTAGCCACATGTGGTGACTTAATTTTAGATTTAAATTAATTCAATTTAAATAAAATTCACATTTTAGTTCCTCAGTCTCATCAGGCACATCTCACATGCTCAATAGGCACATGTGGCCTGTGGTTACCATATCAGACATTGTAGACATAGAACACTACCTCCTCCAAAAGACAGCACGTGGAAGTGTTGCCACATGCCCCCAGGACCTACGGTGAGCTTGTGGAGGCCTAGGTAAATCTATACAGAAAGAGAAAACACCATGACAGGTATGCTACGAAGCTGATGTTTACTAAAATTCCCAGAAGCTGACATTGTGCTCCTTCTTAGTGATCGCCTAGCATCTTCTATTTCCCCAATCTTAGCATGAAACACACTGTACCACCATGACCTAGTCACCTGTCTCTGTCTCCCTGGTGGTCCTTGTTCCTTCCTTTAGGATCCCCTCCAGGCAAGGCCATAGTAATCCTGACCAATCTCCATGGTTTCAGATGGCTAGGCTTCCCACTGTCCAGGCTCCCTCGCTTAAGGATGTGGGGGCATATGATCCAGACCAAACTAATCCTGGGACTTTCATCTAAGCCATTGGGACAGATTCTCTCTCTTCCTCTGCAACCATAATTGAAAAATAATCCTGCAAGTACACAGCCATGTTCCCCATCACTAGGGGATCACCTGCCAGTGAAACATGGTCAGAATAGAGAAAGGTGGTGTTGAAAGGGGAAAGGAAAGATTCATAATCCAAATGACAATGCTGAATACTGGGACCCAGCTGTGTCTCAGAACAACACATTCCCTAGATTTCAAGTTACATGAGCCAATAAATGCATTCCTTGCTGGAGCTAGCTGAAATGGGGTTTCTTCACTTGAAACCCAAATCCCTAAGGAATGTATTTCCCCAAAGCAGGAGCTGCATGAGGGCAGAGACCTTATCTGTTAAGTTCACCATTTTCTCTTCTGGACCTCACAGTTTGGAACAAACTAAGAACTCAGGACACACTTACGTAAGATTGAAGAACTATCCTTTCTGTTTAAGGACATGCACACTTACCACTGATTCACACTATTATACCACTCTAAACATGGAAAGAAGTATCCTGAAAATAAGAAATCCTAGCAAAAAATGTCCATGGATCACTCTTCTAATGATCATTTTATGTCCAAGAGACAAGAGGTGTGCCGTTCTCTGTTCAGAACCAAGCACTGAGTGAGCACAGGGCATTCTCAGGGCAGTGAAACCCCTTAGGAGGACTGTGATTCATGTCTTTATTAACACAGAAAAGATGCAGGAATTTTATAAAGTCAAAATTCTGCCACAAATGTCATAAAAATGGTAAGCATTTCTCAGTCCACCGTTCTGACTGAAAAAAACCTTGTATGTAAATTAAATCAGTCTCCCCTATTACATACAACCTTCATGAGGATTCCTTTTTGTTATGGAGTGAAGTTGCCCCCCCATGCCCCCAAAAATTCATAGGTTGAAGACTAACATTACCCTGTGTGATAGTGTGAAGAGGTGGGGCCTTTGGGAGATAATGAGGTTTAGATGAGGTCATGAGGATGGAGCCCCCGTGAGATTAGTGCCCTTCTACGAAGAGTAAGAAATACCCAAGCTTCCACTCTTTACCACGTGGGGAGACAGGGAGAAGGTGGCCATCTGAAAGCCAGAAAGAGGGCTCTCACCAAGAACCAAATCTGCCAACACCTTGAGCTCAGACTTCCCAGCCCCCAGAACTATGAGAAATGAGTATCTGTTGTTTAAACCACCCAGTCTGTGGTATTTTGTTACGGCAGCCTGAGATGACTAATGCACCTTCTTATTTTCATTGTTTTCAAATTTCCTCATGACCATAGTTGGAGGACTTCCTGCTGGCGGAGACAACAAATGATCTGTGGTTTCTTCTTATCGGCTCCACCTTGAATCAAATGCCACATGGTAAGATGGTAAGAGTTCCCTGTGGCTTCCTCAATGGATCAGCCCCCCACCACACTTGATTTGCAGCAACATCTGCATTAAATTTACTCTCTGTGGAGGGTATCAAAGCAGATTGCAATTTGGTGACACTGGAACTTTAATAGGCCACTGTTTATTATAACATTGTCTTTACTAGGATGCTTATTGTTTACATATCCGTGAGCTCCAGGAGGAACCATGCAGGCCCTGCTGAACACGGCTCTTGGGAAATGTTGAATAATCTGGCAAAGCAGACACTTGGCAGGCAAGTCTCAGGGGACAGATGCTGTGTGCAGGGCAAACGGCTCCTCGAGGCGGAGGCTGACGGTCTCTGTGCCTCAAAGTGGGAAGACATCAGGTGCCTAGTCTTACTTAATGAAAACATAAAAGACTCCACTTAATTGCTCCAAGATTATGCAGGGCGTTTTTTTCCTTCTTTTAGGTTGAGCTTGTTAATTTCTGCAGCTGTGATGTTGGCACGATTGTAGCCTCGAGTCCTGTTTTCACAACTTGTGAGCAAAATTAAAACTTCCCTTCTTAATTAAAATTCAAACCAAGCCAGAATTAAATTCTTATTGCAAAGCAGAGGGCTCAGGAGGCCTCAGAAGGAACACCTGCTCCAAAGGTATGATGAACAAACTGACAAACATACCCATTTGAGGGTGCGATTGGTGGCCCTAAGGATGAGTTGCTGACCTCAGTGGTGCTTTGGCCATCGCAAAGCTCTTCCCCCGAGGGCGGTCAGCTCTGGAGTGGGGAAACCTAAGTTCAAATTTTCCACTTCTTACACCTTCGGTCAGAATTTAATTCAGCCCAATGATGACTCATTCTTTTCCACGGTAATAACAACAACGATAAGAATTGTAGTAGTCAATAGTAATAAAAACAAACTCTTGTCCAGAAAGATCAAATTTGGTATGTCTCACACTCCAGTTCCTCACTTTTGGTGGCAGCTCTATAAACTGCTCTATTAAGCCGTGGAAACCTATGCAGATCTAAATGCCTGTGTGTGCACGTCTCACACACATGTACACACATGTGCGTGCGTGCAGATGCCATGCTCCCATGTCTATCTGACAAGAGATTTAACTGATTTGAATTTAATCGTTCATTTTCTCCTAATAGGAGGGGGAAAAAAAATTTAACCCTGAACACAAAAGAAAAATATCACAGGATCATTAATCTCAATCATAATTCTCAAGGCAGGGATACTCACCTGGATACTGCCTAAAAAATCCCTTCGCACTTCCAAAGTACTGCCATATGAGGGAGGGGTCCCGATCAAAGTTATCGACAAAAACTTTGTTTAGGGATTCGGACCAATAAACCCCATTGACGATTGCTGGGTCTGAAAAGAAAGGGAAGAGGAATGTTACAAACCAAAGTGAGAGAGAACCCCGGCGGGCATCCCTCAGAACTGGCAGATAGCAGCATGACGTTCACCTTGCGGGAAGCTGTGAAGAAAGTTATAGCTCTCCAAATGTTTAGCTCCTGGGAATTCCATGCATTAGGGCTTCCTCATCCTGCCCAAGTCCCCACAGCCACCCAGGAGCCTTTATTGAGGACTCCTTACTTGAAAGACACATCCCTGTATTTGTAACTTTCAACCTTGCACAGCACAGAGTTCTTGAGAAAGCAAAGAGAGACCTTCTTAGTGTTATTTTCCACCTTTTCCTCTCCTGAGTCAGAACCCAGCATTAAAAACAGGAAAAATGTGTTTTCTCTCATTGCAATGACCTCAGCCAACACTGTCCCATTCCAATTCTCTCTACCTCTGACTTCAAAGTTTGCTTGTAAAAAAATAAGTAAGTAAATTGGAGTTACATAACTGCATCTCTCTACTTCTTTTGTTCAGTAGATGGTGAGCTCTGGGAGGGCAGGAACCAATTCCCTTGGTCTTCCGCTATACCCCCTTTGACCAGGACATGGCAGAAATTCCAACCATTTATGGACGCATGAAGAGATGGATGGATGGGTGAATGAATAAAAACAAAGGTTGTTTGCCAGTCCTCAAGTGGCATAGTAAACCAATGAGCAAAATAATGCTAGAAATGTTCATGTACATTAGGTATCGTGATAAGGAAACTCACTGTTGGCACCACTGCACCCCATCCTTCCTCCACGTGGCCTGCCCACTGCCAGCCTGCTGCCCCAAGATGCTCATCAGAAGAGGCATGAGACAGAGCCCACAAAATGGCGCCTGACCCAGTGGACAGACATGGCATCTTGTATTGTCTTACTTCTAGCCTGCCTATTCTTTCAAATCACTTACCCAGATTCCATAGACAAGTGGGATTCTGACTTTCATCTCAAGGGTAAGTGCTCAAACTCTTATAAACTATAATAAACCACATCATAGGCTGGGAGAGTGAAAATGACCAATTCAACCTTTTACCACAAAGTAATTTTGAGAAAGACTTTATCCTCACAATCCTGGAAAATGGAACCCTTTATTGTTCCCCTGCAAGCTTGACAATAATTACTGTGATTCACTCCTTGCTACAAAAGCCACTTAAATTAATCCACAAAGAGGTAAATACAATAATGACACTGAAAACTCCATGGCTCTTGCCTCCTCCATCAGTGGCCTCAATTATGTTGCCATCATATAAAAACTTTCCACAATTAGAAGCAAAAATTCCATGCTCACTCACTGTCTCGACATGTTAAGGAGTCAAACGGTTTCCAGTTAGAGAATTGTTTTTCTTGACTGTGGTTTCTTTGGGGGTAGTAAAAGGCTACCCATGCCCTCAGGTGGTCCTAGAAACCTAAGATTGCCCCCTTGGGGGACTGTGAGCACCTTCAGAAATGCAAAAGGAGTGGTGACGGTCAGAGGATTATTTCACCAATCGTTTGGACACTAAATCTCACTCTGAAATTATGCCTCTTTAAAAAAAGGGGGCTTTGATCTTCCCAGGGCATGGTGAACAAGGGAAGTAGAATCGCTAAAAATATGGTCTAGTTAAAATGAGGGCTGTGTTACACACACCTGTTTGATCAGATATTTGAGATAACACGTCCTCTGGCTCACAAAGTAATCACAGTGTGTTGATTTCACAATTTTGCTTAGCAAGCAATTTTCACAGAATGGAAAATCTTGAATTGCTGTCCATAATTCGTCATCTAAGAGATGAAAAAAAGAGGAGAGTCTGGGTGGCCCAGTCAGTTGAGTGGCCGACTCCTGATTTCAGCTCAGATCATGATCTTAGGGTCCTGAGATCGAGCCCCTCACAGAAGGCTCTGTGCTCAGCGGGCAGTGTGCTTGAGATTCTCTCTCTCTCTCCCTCTGCTTCTCCCTCTGCTCTCTCTCTCTCTAAAGGAAATAAATAAATCTTTAAAAAGAGAGAAAGATGAAAAAAAGAAACAGGAAAATATTAACGTTATAAAATGAGGACTTCATCTAAATATCTGGGTTAAAAAAAAAGTTAAAAATCATTTTCCCAACATGGTTGACAGAGAGCAGAAATGAAATAGCCCAAAGGCTCAGTGCCTCGCATCACACCCCCTGTAGCCAGGTCCCCAGTTCCTTCCACTCTCCACTGAGGGGGAGGTGAACATGACATTGTGGACCAGCACCCCAGCTTCATGTTTCCTCTATGGCTGCTGAGCAGAGGTCACCTGCAAAAGTCTTAAGGTCACCTGCAAAAACAACAGCATCCTCCTAAGCAGCAAGTTTCCCTTTTTCTTTGATTGTGTTTTGTTTCAAACTTTGTTGAAGAGGCCCCCTCCCCCTGCTGCCTCATTTGGGGTTCTTCAGGAGTCTTAGATTAATCTGAGCTTTGGCTCCACTCCCACCCCGAATCTTCCTAGGGGGCTAATGTACTGTATTAGCTTCCTGTGGCTGCTACCACAAATTACCACAAACTGAGTGACTTAAAACAACAGAAGTTTATTCAGGAGACCAGAAGTCCAAAATCAAGGTATTGGCAAGATGGGTTCCTTCTGCAGGCTCTGAAGGAGATTCTGTTCCAAGCCTCTCTCCTGGCCTCTGATGGTCACCAGCAACCATTAGTGTTTCTTGCCTTGGAGACACAATTGGCCCAATTTCTTCCTCCGTCTACGGGGCCTTCCCTCTGTGTACCTGTGTGTCATATCTCCTTTTCTTTAAGGAAACCAGTCACCGTATTTGGGGTTCACCCTAAATTCAAGATGATCTCATCTCAAAATCTTTAACTTAATTATATCTGCAAGACCCTATGTCCAAATAAAGTCACATTTGCAGGATGTACTGGAGGTTAGGAGTTGGGCATATCTTCTGGGGCCACCATTAGACCCACTACATGTATTCATACTCCCTTAATTATACTATATAATATATCCATATTTTGTGATTTGTATGTATTCTTTTTAAAATCTGAGTTTAGTGAGTGTAGGTCTTTTTCCTAGTGAAGGATGTTTAAAGGCCTTTTAATGGAAACAATTCAGATTCTTATGTCTGCGTTGTAATTTTATGAGCTTACCATTCTTCCCAATCTCTGCCTCTTCCCAATCTGTCAATGGGTCCTGCTATAATGCTCTAATTTGGGTTGAAATCATTTCCCTTAATGCCTAGTGTATGTCAATGCCCACCGTTTCCTGCTCAATAAAGTGAACTCCATGTAACACGGCCATTTTCTCCAACATCCCTGTCCATTCAGCACCAAATTATTATTCATAGTGGTCAATATGAAGTTCAGGAATTGCAGTTCTGCTTCCTGCTTCCTCTACCTCCTGAGAGATTAAATTACCTCTGATGCCAGTCAGAAATTTATCAGATGTTCAGCTTTTAGTAGAACAGACTACTAGCAGATGTTTAGAAAGTAAGAGTCCCACACCCCCTTTGTGATCTATTTGCAATTTGTATCTGAAAAGCGGCTCACACATCCCTGCTTTGCCTTTATGATGTATCCTATAACCCATCAAAAATCACATTTATAGTTCCCTTATTTTATTTCCACCCAAAGAACTGCTCTCATCTGTGTTTCCCCATCCTCCAACAAGTTTGCACTTTGCTACATGGGGGTTGTCTGATGTTATAGAAGGCTGATGTTCTCTCTGCACACTCACACACCCTTCCAATTCAGTTCTGTATCTTTGAATGAGTAGCCCCCTTTGTCATCCGAAGGTCCATCCTCCTGAGTCAATCAGCCCTTTGGGTTCAAGCAAATTACTGGATGAAAAGCACTTAGCACAGCAATTGGCACATCCAAAATGGTCCATAAACATGGCCATTATTTATGCCATGCATGAGCAAATATATAAATAAGGTCCCAGGAAGAGTTCCCACTTCTTCTATCCCTGTTCTCTGCAGCAAGAATCCCTGGGCAGCACCCTAATAGTGCAGCACACCAGTCTGAAATGCAGGCTTTGGAGTTGGAGTCTTGGATATGAGACCTCGCTTGGCACCTGTTAGTTAGTGGCCTTGGGCTTGTGACTTACCTTCCCTGAGCCCCAGTGTCTTTATTGGTAGAAGGAGAATCAGAGCAGCTCTTGCTCAAAGGCTTCTGAGACAAGGTACAGAAGGTGCTCAGCAGGGGGAGGGCTCCATTACCGTCCACAGGTACATCACCAGTCACAGCTCTGGGGTGAGTCCCCAACTCCCCACCTAGGGCAGTTCAGCTGTCCTAGGGCTATCCAAGTGAGCCTTTACCTAAACCTCTTCCTCCCTTTCTCCAATTACCAGGACAAGATGCTCTTGATGACTCTGGCATTCATTTGTTCATTCAACGAACATTTACTGAGCACCTACTACATCAGGCATTCAGCAGTGAACCAGACACACCATGACGCTGACATTTCAGTCTGAGGAGGGTGACAATGGGCAAGTAAATGAGGACTCCAGATAGAAATGAGTGTGATGAAGAAAATAAAAAGGGACAGGAGGCTGAGAGTCCCCACGTGTGGGAAGGGGAAAAGGGAGTTACTCTAATTGGGTGGTCCAAGATGACTACTTTGAGGACAGACCCAAATGCTGAGAAGGTGTCAGTTCAAAAACATGTTGGCCGGCAAAAGCTTCAAGGCAGAGTAACAAGTGCAAAGGCCCTGAGGCAGGAAGAAATCTGGGTCCTGGGGACCAGCAAGGCAGTGAGTGTCCCTGGGGCCCCATAAGCAAGGGAACAACATTCCAAGTGGGGCTGGCAAGATGGGCAGGTCACAGTGAAGGTCTTAGCAGATGGACAGTTTCCTGCCAGGCATACGTTTTCTGGCAGACATAATCTGTGCTCTGCCAGTGCCCAGGCCCACCACACTTTTATTCATGGTTCAAAAAGCAAATTTCTTATCTTCTGAAATCTACAGCTGTCATAGCCTACTTCCATCGAGCAATCAGGATCTTTACAGATGCCTTAGCACTTGAGTCTCCTCTCTAGA